TATTTGTAGTAGAGATGGGGTTTCACCTTGTTGTCCGTGCTGGTCTTGAACTCCTGACCTTAGGTGATCCACCCACCTTGGCCTCCCAAAGTGCTGGGATTATAGGCATGAGCCACCACACCCACCAATTGTCCTCTTTTAAACCAAGTGACGTGCTTTCTGGGATGAGGTTGTGTACACGTTTTAATTTTTTGCTGGTTTGACTTTAATGACTTATTTTTGAGTAACTATTTTTAAATTGATGCTTTTTTTTTCCTTTTTGAGCAAGGTCTCACTATGTTTCCCAGGCTTGTCTCAAATTCTCGGACTCAAGTTATCCTCCCACCTCAGCCTCCCAAGTAGCTGGGACTGCAGGGCCATGCCACCACACCTGGGTTAACACAATTTTTTTTTTTTTTTTTTTTTTTTTTTTTTTGAGACGGAGTTTCACTCTTGTTACCCAGGCTGGAGTGCAATGGCGCGATCTCGGCTCACCGCAACCTCCGCCTCCTGGGTTCAGGCAATTCTCCCGCCTCAGCCTCCTGAGCAGCTGGGACTACAGGCACACGCCACCATGATCAGCTAATTTTTTGTATTTTTAGTAGAGACGGGGTTTCACCATGTTGACCAGGATGGTCTCGATCTCATGACCTCGTGATCCACCCGCCTCGGCCTCCCAAAGTGCTGGGATTACAGGCTTGAGCCACCGCGCCCGGCCTAACACAATTTTTAAGAGCAGTTTTAGTTTCACAACTGATAAATTATTTTTGACTATTTTAATAACTTGTCATTCAGTGTGGCACCTGCCTTTTTGATAGTTCTATCCCTGTCTCCACTGGTATTGTAGATTCTGACATAGAAATGTTGACCTTGGCAGAGGGCAGTTAGAGAGCTTCCTCCAGATGAACAGGGCTATGTCTGCTACTCCCTGGGGATGGCTGCTCCACTAAGCCTGCTCATATCACTGAAGCCTGCATTTCCCCTCTGGTCTTACTGAAACCCAGAGACTCAGAGCTATCCTGCCGCCTCCCTCACCAAGCCTACTGAAAAAGAGGCAAGGTTAGTCTGGGGACACTCGTTCCTAGCTGTGACAGATGCCCGTGGTGATGTACCCAATGCCTTATCCATATTTATGTTTCCTGCTGTCAGAACCCTGAGTCTTACGCCAGGTGCATCAGGTCACACCTATAATCCCAGTACCTTGGGAGGCCAAGGTGGGAGGATTGCTAGAGGCTATGAGTTCAAGGCAAGCCTGGCCAACATACTAAGACTCCATCTTTACAAATCATTTTTTTAAATTAACCAGGCATTGTGATATGTACCTATAGTCTGTAGTCCCAATTATGCACGAGGCTCAGGCAGGAGTATCACTTGAATCCAGGAGTTCGAGGCTGCAGTGAGCTGTGATCATGCCACTGCATTCCAGCCTGGACGACAGAGCAAGACTCTGTCTCTTTTTTTTCTTTTTTTTTTTTTGAGGTAGAGTTTCGCTCTTGTTGCCTAGGCTGGAGTGCAATGGCATGATCTCGGCTCACCGCAACCTCTGCCTCCTGGGTTCAAGTAATTATCCTGCCTCAGGCTCCCAAGTAGCTAAGATTACAGGCATGTACCACCATGCCCATCTAATTTTGTATTTTTAGTAGGGACAGGGTTTGTCCATGTTGGTCAGGCTGGTCCTGAAATCCCGACCTCAGATGATCTGCCCTCCTCAGCCTCCCAAAGTGCTGGGATTACAGGTGTGAGGCACCGTGCCCAGCCAAGACCCTGTCTCTTAAAAGTGAAACAAAGAAAAAAACCTCTGATTCTTATCGAGGGGGCACTGTGTGCAGTTAAAATACTCTCCACTTCCCAGCTCTCTTTGCAGCAAAGGATGGGCATGTGACATATCTCAGGCCAAGGTCCAGGTAAGTCCCCAGGGTGGATGTCCCTTCTGAAAATCAAAAAGGCAAAAACTTTCCAGGAAATTGCCCATTGCCCTTTCTCTGATTCTGCCTACCTGGAACCCCCGTACTTTCTCATTTCATCCTCACATTAGGTAGATGAAGAAGGCGTCATCCTCATTTATTTTCTTCCTCAGTCTTCTCATTACACAATTTTTTTTGTTTTGAGACGGAGTCTCACTCTTATTGCCCAGGCTGGAGTGCAATCTCAGCTCACTGCAACCTCCACCTTCTGGGTTCAAGCAATTCTCCTGCCTCAGCCTCCTGAGTAGCTGGGATTACAGGCACGCACCACCACACCCAGCTAATTTTTTGTATTTTTTTTAGTAGAGATGGGGGTTTAACCTGTTGATCAGGCTGGTCTCAAACTCCTAACCTCAAGTGATCCACCCCACCTTGGCCTCCCAAAGTGCTGGGATTACAGACATGAGCCATAGTGCCTGGCCTCACCCTCATTTTACAAGTGAGGAAATGGCTGTTCAGGGAAGCTAACTGACTTTCTCAAGTTTGCAAGACTCAGATAGCTCCTGCATGAAAACTGAGTGGCCAGCTCACTGCATTGAAATTAACTGGCCTTAAGTTTCCCATTTTGGCCAGGCTACCAGGAAGCTGAGAGCCTACAGTCAATCTAGCACTGCCCCTTAGCATGGGGACTTAGCTGTCTCCTTTCCCTTGTCCTCACCGCCTGTCATGAGGCTGGAGAGATCAGTCCTTTTCTGTAGGCTGCCTCTAGCCCTCTTTTGGAAAGCTGCGGTGAGGAAAATGGTGTTAGTGCGGTGGTTATCTATCTTCACTGTCTTCTCCAGATCTTCTCTCCACGGTGGGCTCTGGTTTCTGCTTGGGCGGGGCCCACAGGGAGCTCTGGTACAGGGGAGTGAGGTTACAGCCTCCCCTTGTCAGGAAGCCTCATCCACAGGATCTCGTCCCAAGGAGCACTCCTCCTCCTCCCCGGCTGAGGCCAGAGGTGATATTGCTATAAGTAGCCTGGCACCCTGTCCTCTCCCTTGCTCTTTCCTATCCCTGCCCAAACCTTTGCAAACTGTTCCCTTACCACACTCTCAAGTCACCCAATTCGAGTGTTTCCTGCCAGAGTCCATAATACGGAGAACATACAAAGGGCTCCATTGGCTGGGTGTGGTAGCTCATGCCTGTGCCACATTGAATGACAAGTTATTAAAACACGTCTTAAAAGTAATTCACGGCCGGGCGCGGTGGCTCAAGCCTGTAATCCCAGCACTTTGGGAGGCCGAGGCGGGTGGATCACGAGGTCAAGAGATCGAGACCATCCTGGTCAACACTGTGAAACCCCGTCTCTACTAAAAATACAAAAAATTAGCTGGGCATGGTGGCGCGTGCCTGTAATCCCAGCTACTCAGGAGGCTGAGGCAGGAGAATTGCCTAAACCCAGGAGGCGGAGGTTGCGGTGAGTCGAGATCGCGCCATTGCACTCCAGCCTGGATAACATGAGTGAAACTCCATCTCGGGGAAAAAAAAAAAAAAAGTAATTCACCCAGGCACAGTAACTCATGCCTGTAATCCTAGCACTTTCAGAGGCAGATCACCTTAGGTCAGGAGTTCAAGACCAGCCTGGCCAACATGGCGAAACCCCATCTCTACTAAACAAACAAAAATTAGCTGGGCATGGCATGCGCCTGTATACCCAGCTATTGGGGAGGCTGAGGCAAGAGAATCACTTGAACCCAGGAGGCTGAGGTTGCAGTCAGCCAAGATCACACCATTGCACTCCAGCCTGAGAGACAAGGACGAAACTCTGTCTCAAAAAAAAGTCTGGGGGCACTGTTAAAAGATTTTGAGATCCTCTGGAGGTCTGAAAACTCTGTCCTCCACCCCGCTCCCCTGGCTCTGGTCAGAGTTCAGCTGTCTCATCACTTCATGTCTGGACCTTATAGCCACCCCCATATTGGAGGCACCCCTGCCTCCAGCCCCAGCCCCAGATCCCACTAATCCTGTGAATAAGGCCATGGCCTCCCTCCACTGCCCTGGGCTCCAGATGGGCATAGAAAGCAGGCATCGGGCCCTGCCAGGGCAGGCACACAGGCGCCACGTTCTCAGGTTTGCTAGGTGCATTCAGAAAGGAGAATTTGGGGTTGTGGGCGGGGGAACTGTCACATGAGCTGAAGGACAGACCAATGTAATCGGTAAAATGATGGTATGCATGGGCATCGTGGAGCACAGCAGGAGGGACACCCGCTCATCCCGACTGGGGGCGGAGGTCAGGGAGCAGGTGTTCCTGGAGTCAAGTCTGAGCCGATCCCAGCAGTTGAACAGTGGAGGCACACAGACAGCAGAACAGCATGGATAAAGAACAGGAGGGGCATGCTGGCTGTCACGGGCACAGCTGAGGGCAGAGTAGGTAGTAGGGGAAAGACAGGAGAGATGGGAAGGCCCTGGGGTGTGCCCACGGCTGACCAACAAGGGGCCTGGAATCCAACCCATAAGCCTTAAGCGTTAAGCACGGGGGACATCTGCCATATTCACACTAAGGCCAGATGGGAGGAAAGCCAGCCAGGAGCTTGCCTGTTTGAAAGAACAAGGCCAGGCGCAGTGGCTCACGCCTGTCATCCCAACACTTTGGGAGGCCAAGGCAGGCGCATCACCTGAGGTCAGGCGTTCAAGACCAACCTGATCAACATGGAGAAACCCCATCTCTACTAAAAATACAAGGAAACTAGCTGGGCACGGTGGCACATGCCTGCAATCCCAGCTACTCAGGAGGCTGAGACAGGAGGATCATTTGAACCTGGGAGGTTGCGCTGACCGAGATAGCGTCACTGCACTCCAGGCCTGGGCAACAAGAGTGAAACTTTGTCTCACAAAAAAAGAAAAAAAAAAAAAGAGGAACCAGGCTGGCCTCCCTGAAGTGGGGGGGCTCACCCCCATTTCCCTCTTTCCCCTCCTCGTTCTATAAGTGCATTATCAGGTTAAAGCCACTCTGGCTCCTCCAACACTTCTGGGTCCCCAACTCGCCTCTTCTAGTCCTTCCCACATGCCAGGCAGCCCTGAGGACCCGCAGGACCCAGCCTCAACTTCCCCATCCCACTCCCCTCAACAGCCTCCAACGCATCTGTGTTATTTTTATTTTCTTTGCTTTGGTCTATACAAAAAAACCAATAACCAAAAACATAAAGCGATAATAATAAAACTCTCTGCTGGGACCTCCCCCGGCCCCCTATACCATGTGCAGGATGGGGGGGGGTCTGAAACAGGAAGGGGAAAAGAAAGCCCCTCACCGCACACCAGAGGGGTCAGCCAAGAGCACTTCTTCTCGGGGTCAGCTAGGGCAGCTGTGTGGGTGGGACCGGGGTGTGAGGGAACTGTCCCCGGAGCTCCCCGGAGAGTGAGGGGTGGGCAAAGCCAACTAAGCATCCTGGAGAGAGAAGCCGAATCTTCTAGAGCGGGCGACTCACTCCGTATCTCCTCCCCATCGCCTCTGGATGGTCCCTGAACTTTTCAAGAGAACCTTTGGATTTCAGGGGTTTGGGTCTTGAATCTGGGTCCTAGAGACCCTGGGGGCTTAGGGCAGTTGGTTGTAGGAGTTTGGTGAGAAAAATCAGACCCAGAAGAGGAACCAAAGCCCTTCCGGGCCCAGGCAGCTGGAGACAGGGAGGCTGGCGTGGGGAGTATGGCTGGGGGAAAACACAGTGGGTGCTTGAGTCTGAAGCTTTAGTGGCCGGGGCCATGGGGGCGGGGAGGGGGTGTCAGGCCCTGGACCCATGCCCAGGACAGAAAAGCAGGAGCAGAGCACTATCCCAAGAAAGACCCTACGGAGGACCTCTGGAGGCGTGGGGAGCAGCAGGAAGTGGCGCCCCGGCTTCCCCAGCTCAGGCACTTTTCTGTCTCGCCCCAATCACCTGCATGGAGAGCCTCTCAGATGAGGAACTGCACCTGTTGGGGGAGGGGGACAGACAGGGGTCAGGGGCTCGGTGGATCTGTCTCCCCAGAAGTTCATGCCACTCTGTGTCACCTGCCCACCACCCCCAGAAGGAGCCAGCGGGAACAGGACTCCTCACCCCCGCCAAAGACAAAAGAGGAAGGCAGGCGGGGGCACGCCTCACTTGGGGAAGCTCAGCAGCAAAGATTCCCCCAAAAAAGGAGCTCGGGTTTTAGTGGGGAGACGGGAGGGCCTCCAACAGAAGGAGGTTCTAGAGAGGAGGAAAAGCCTGCAGACAGGGGGCCGTACTGGGGCCAAGCCGCCTAGGCCAGCATGTGGTCTGCAGGGGGGTACGGGGGCCTGAGGCCGTCGCTGTAGGTGTCGATAGGGTAGTCTCCGTCCACGTCCAAGTGCATGTCCAGGGGGTCAAGGGGCACATCGCTGGAGTACATGGGACGGTAGGTGGCATCCATGTCTGGGGACGAAAAGTGGAGCTCTGTCCAAGCGTCTGCCAGCCGCTCTGCAGGGGGCATTCTGCCCAGCCCTCACCCACCTCCTCCCCCCAAGCCCACCGTGGTGGGCCTGAGCCCCTCCCCAAACCCCACACCAGGGCATCTAGACTGGGGTGCATGTGGACACCACACAGCAGTTGCCACCAGTCCTTTGGCCCTAGAGACATAATATTGCACCCTCACACCCACACACAGCCGCCCAGACTCTCCAGGGTCCTGAAGAGCCCAGCACACACTTACCATCTCCATAGGGTTCATTGATGGGAATCATGCTCTGGGCCTGAAGCAGAGAGAAACATGAGTGGAGAGGTTTGAAAATGTAGGCTCTGGCTGGATCTCAGCTTAGGGGGAGGGAGAGATGCTTCTAAAAAAGGGGGTGGGGCCAGGCGCCACGGCTCACAGCTATAATCCCAGCACTTTGGGAGGCCGAGGTGGGTGGATCGCTTGAGGTCAGGAGTTCCAGACCAGCCTGACCAACATGGTGACACCCTGTCTTTACTAAAACTACAAAAAAAAAATAGCTGGGCTTGGTGGCGCATGCCTGTAGTCCCAGCTACTCAGGAGGCTGAGGAAGAGAATCGCTTTAACCCAGGAGGCAGAGGTTGCAGTGAGCTGAGATTGCGCCAGTGCACTCCAGCCTGGGTGACAGGAGTGAGACTCCATCTCGAAAAAAATAAAAAAATAAAAAATAAATAAAAGGGGGCCAGAGAAAACAGAGCCCTTGGAGGAATAGAGCATGATGAAATGGGGTCACCTAGCCCCCTGATATACTCATGTCCTCAGTGCTCCAGAGGGAGGAGGGTTCCCCATTCATGGGGTGGGGGCTCCTGCTAGACTACAGCAGCTCAGGGGAGGAGGGGAGGAGGCAGAGGACTCAAGAAAAGACGGCCCATAGCCTATCCAGCACCTCCACACAAATCAGGAAAACGCACTCCCTCCTCAAACACTGTATACACATTTGGGCAAAATAAAAATTGGCATTTTGTGGCTATGTGGTTCAACCTACTTCTATCTGCTAGGAATTGCTATAAATGATCAATTACAAAATAAAGATCTAGAAAGTTGACAGGAGTGGAAGCCCCTCTAAAAGCGTTGCCCTTGGGCAGTACACAACTTGCACAACCATCTACTGCAGTCCAGCCTAGGATACTCCCAGCGTCCCAGCCAGGACAGCCTAAGATACTCCCAGCCCCTCAGCCAGAACAACCTAAGATACTCCCAGCCTCTCAGCCAGAACAATCTAAGATGCTCACAGCCTCCCAGCCAGAACAACCTAGGATGCTCCCAGCCTCCCAGCCGGAACAACCTAGGATGCTCCCAGCCTCCCAGCCGGAACAACCTAGGATACTCCCAGCCTCCCAGCCGGAACAACCTAGGATACTCCCAGCCTCCCAGCCGGAACAACCTAGGATGCTCACAGCCTCCCAGCCGGAACAACCTAGGATGCTCACAGCCTCCCAGCCAGAACAACCTAGGATGCTCACAGCCTCCCAGCCAGAACAACCTAGGATGCTCACAGCCTCCCAGCCAGAAAACCTAGGATACTCCCAGCCTCCCAGCCGGAACAACCTAGGATGCTCACAGCCTCCCAGCCGGAACAATCTAGGATGCTCACAGCCTCCCAGCCGGAACAACCTAGGATACTCCCA